TCCCAAACTAAGGATGCATACCAAATGATGTAGACTACATCGACGTCTAAAACTTAACCTGATTTTATGTCTTAACACGCAAAAACGTTATTTTAATGCAGCGTTCAGTAATTTAAAAGGTTTACAATTGAATAAAAGTTTAGAAAATTTCTGAGGTATTCATTCAATGGAATTACCATCTGGCAATGTATAACACGCAGATACTGGTAGAAATAGCCTTATTCTAGTTAAAACGTATTGGAATGAATTGCTTGAATGGATGAAGTGATGCGGTACGTGACCTTCTTTTAAAGTGTACAGGTTATAACTCAAAATTGTTTTCCTTTTCTAAGGTTGCTTTCTTTTCTAATTTTTTTTAGATCTGGCAATCTAGCCAAATTCCTTTATAATTATGTATGCGCCCATTCTTTTATTGGCTTTTTTGTACTCGATAGAGATTTAGCAGATATTTTAAAATTATTCTTATTAGCCTTGCAAGGATACGCACTGGAGTCACGCAATGGAATAATTTCCTCTGAATTTTTTAAATATAGGTATTCATTTCATAACATTGGCACCAAATGAGTGGGGTAAAAGTTTACAGACGTAATGAAGAATTTAAAATTACGCAATCCAGTGATAAATTAACGTAATATATATGTCATAAAAATATGACATTGTATAATTTTATCTTTAACCTGTTGATAGTCTAGAAAATACAACTTATTTTATTATGATGGATGAGGCACGAGTTTTCTTTTTTTAAGAATCAGAGGAATTGAACGAGGCGTTTTGTCTGCGATTTTCATAATAAAAATTAATGTATCAACTCTGCTCAAGTCTTTGAAGCAGGTATGGCACCTTTTTTGTCATCCTGATTCAGCTTCTGTCGAAGGTTTCATCTACATAGCAACCAATCCTAAAAATACTGTCCGCTTTCAATTAATAGACATCTTCCAAAGGGCTATCCTCTACCAGATTAATAATGTTCACTTCTCTCTGACAGCAAATGACTGTATCATGAATTAACAAGAGACGTGTCTGTGAATATGTAATAATAAATCAATCTGTCACGCTGGTGGGTCAAAGAAAATACGACTTAAAACCAGTATTTTTGTTAAGTTGATTTAATATAAAACTGCACAATTTCAGTACTACTTACAGCTACAGTGAAATGATTTTAGAAGTAAAATTAGCAGGGTTAAGACAAAGACTAAAAGTTATGGCCTAAATGATATTAAGAGACCATTACCAGAAACTAGCTTACTAGCTTTAGATCGAACTATCTCAGAGCGGGTCCTCGCTAAATTTCAGTCGACTTTAGCGGCTTAGACTGCATTCCCATAGATTGAGATCGACCCATCTGGATCAATCTAACTCCCTGGGGGTTCACGCTAAATTGCTGTCAGCCGAGCGCGCACGAAAGTCAATTACCCCCTTACAGGTTTTAGTAGGCGGGACAGACATTTAAGCCGGTTAAGCTGACAGTAATCTAGTGAGACTCCCCACGGGGATTGATCGATCTAAAATATGTGGGAATGCAGGCTTAGATGTCTGTGACGCCTACTGAACCTGATAGGGGGTAATCAATTACCGTTTAGCAGCTTTAGCAGGCGAACCAGACATCTTAGCCAATTAAGCTGAAAACAATTTAGCGAGAAACCCCTGGAGATGGATCGATCCTCTTAGATCGATTTAGGGATGGGAAGCTAGTCTAAGATGATGATAAAATCTGATACGAGTCTTCAATAGCTTTCCGTTGTCATGACACCATGACAAGTGCTAGTCGCAGGCCAATACGAGAGTCAAGGTGAGAGACAAAACAGTTAGAATTCAAGGCGAGCACTGATGCAGGCGGTGTGGGGGGGGGGGGGGGTCCGGAGATAATTTCTGACAGTCTTCCAAATTATCTTTGTTGATCCATTCTTCATTTTTGACCGTCTTCCGACAAAAAAAATTTAAAAAATTAGATACCCATCAATGTAAAATTGAAAAATCTAACTGTCTTCCGGCCTAGATATGAAGACATAACAAAATTATAAAGCCAAGTTAAGGATGAAGTTAAATTTAAATTCCGTCTCAACTGACATGTTTTAAGATCATAAGAAATATCACTCCCCACATCATCATTGTGCTTAGACAGCCAATTCCATAGAATGAGGGTACCGGTAGTTAATCAAGTAGCAATTACAAACCTAATGAGGTTGGCTGTAACATGGGTACATAAAGGGCTTTTACCTTTACCTCTAACATGCTTAAAACATTACAATTTTAAAGATTATCCTCTGGCAAGCTGAGGATCAGTGACGCTCTATGGGGATTAACGAATATCATGTTGTCTTCTTGACGGGTGCGTTGCATCATATTGCAAAGCCTGCATATTAAGTTATTCTGTTAGATGCTCCAGGTGGTCAAATACATGTAGTAAGTAGTTGTTAAAGACAAAATGAGAGGTTACAAATGTTTGTATATGCTATACCATATGGTTTTAGTCTTAAAAGTGATATTTTATTGAATTTTTTGTGGGGCCACGAAAAGCGTATTTACTTAATTATCAACTCACTAGTTAAATCATATACTAATCGATAAACTACTTCAATAATTGATTAATTAATTTTCACGATAATCTAGCCCATTACTGAACTGACTTGAAAATTTAATAGAAACTACTCCGTAATTTTTAGCATCATGTTCCTAAACGGTAGGCAAACAAATAAATTAACAAATAATAAACCAGTCAAATCTAATTGTTTATTACTTAGTTCCCCTAACAATAGTTTAAAAAAAAACATCGAAATCCACCTTCAACCGAGAGACTGCCCCCAAAACAGAGTGTGCGCTTATTTTATTTTATTTTATTTTATTTTATTTTATTTTACAACAAAATCGGTAACTCTGCCTTTAAAATGATTCATCACGGTGCACAACTGGAACAAATGACCCCATATCTAATAAGTTACGGTTCTACCACGCGTCATTTAATGGACTGAAACCACACGTTTTTCGTGCTTTATTTAACAAGGTGACATTTGAAAGATGTACATAAGCCATCGTTTCCGAAGCTTTAACTTAAACGGACTCGAGCAAATATTGAGTCTGGTACAGGTTGAATACATTCTTCAGAGCTGACCACACTGAGACGGCCAATTTGAGAGACGAACCGCAACCATGAAACTTTCTCTGTTTCTTGCCTCCATGCTTTTGGCTCTTTTAGCGTTAGAGCAGGTGGATGCCCATGATGCCAATGGTGCCAATGAGACAGACAAGATACCACCCGGAGTGAAGTTTGTGAGAGAAAAAATTCCCAAGAACCGAAGACTAAAGTACATGAAGAAGGAAAATCCC